CACGTACTCTGCTCCACACACCTCTCCCACCATCCTCCATCCTCCCATCTTCCCGCAACAGTTACACGCTTCGTTCGTTTCGTGTCTCGCCCTGCTGGTTCTACCTCTTGTTCTCTTCTTCTTTTCCATGTCACTCACTCCCACGTTTGTGTCTCTTCCTTTCTCTTTCTCCCCCCCTCTCTGTCTCTTACCTCGAGGTAGCTTCCTTTTCGGCCACGCCCCTCCACCCCTCCTTTTCGTCCTCTTATTGTCCGTTGTTGGACAGGAAGTGACACAAATCAAGTTCAAACCCAGTCCCAATCGAGGATACCCTCTTCTTCGCCGGCCTCCGCACCTACCGGCGTCTGTGTGAGAGGGTGAGAGAGAGCTGTATTCGTACGTGGATGGGCACTTACATAGGCTTGCGCGCGCCCACCCCCAACCTGTCCTCCTCTCACATACTTGGCTCCTCGCTCGCCTACTCGCCCACCCAACCACCACCACCATCACCATCGTCTCAATCCTTCGGACTGGGATTAGTCGTCCACCACCCGCAAGCACCATCACACACAACCACGACAAGGACCAGGACCAGGACCAGGGACCAGACTAAAAATCAACTCTCCTGCATGTCCCGCCCGCTCCTCTCACATATCTCCGTTCACCACTGGCTACCCGGCTCGCACCCGTAGGCTGTAGCTTCCCACGTCCCTTTTTACGTCCGTAACTCCCCCCGGAACACCCAGGTAACCCTCGACCGTTCCCAGTTTCTATCCTCTTTGGACCGCATCCTCGACTCTCTTCAACGAATGACCGTCTTGTTTGCTTCGATTTTCATCCCGACGGCCTCTCATAACACCCTCCTTTTCCAAACGCTCGGCCATTGACAAGAATCCGAGATCTGATCAGACCGGCGCCCGAACCGCCAACCAACCATCAAATGGATTCTGGGCACTATTCCGCTGCACGTCATGCTGCTGCCGCTGCCGCTGCCGCTGCCGCCGCCGGTGGTGGTGCCGTCTACTCGGCTCAGCCCATGGACCACGCACACGCGCACTCGCACGCTCACGCACAAGCACACGCCTACCATCATGGCCACTCTCACTTACAAACACCCGCACAATCACCCCATGGCCAGCCACAGTACTACTCGATCAACCCCGTGAGCCCAACCGCACAAGGGCCTTCCATGACGAGCCCCCGCGTCCTACCAAACTCTGATCTCATGCCTGGCGCTCATTCACCGGGCTCAGCAACATCTTCCGCGCCGCACGGCATGACCGGTCTACCACCCAACCGCCCTTCGTCCCCGGCCGCCTCTGTGTCGGGAGCGCCTAGTCCCGCCTCCAAGCCTATCCGGAGGCGCATGCGCATGATTACGTCCTGCCTCGAGTGCCGGCGCAGGAAGCTCAAGTGCAACAAGTCTCAGCCATGTGTCAACTGCATGAAGTTTTCGCGCGACTGCGTCTACCTTAGCCCCAAGCTTGATGAGGCCAGTCAGCTCCGTCTGACAGAGATCAAGGAGAAGGTTGGATCATTGGAGCGCCAGTTGGAGCGCGATGTCGCCAAAACGTCCCGAGCCGCCCAGCAGCAAGCTATCCTCGCCGACGATGTCGAGGACGACTTTGCCGAGGAGCGCGATCTAGAGCCCACAGATATGACGGCTCTCGATGTCACGTACGAAGAAGACGCAGACGGAACCGACGATCTCATTGACCTGGGTGTACAAGTTGGTCGCATGCGTATCACAGAGCGCATCGGTGGCCTATCCAGACCCAGAATAGCTGAAGAGGTGTGTCCAATCCTACTTTTACCTTTCACCAGTTAAATCCCAAATCACTTGTCTCGAGCTAGCGATTTTCTGACGCAATGATCAGATCTCGGCCGGTATATCTGGCCCGGGCGGACCTCCCGGGGGTCCACCTCCGGGCGGTCCGATGGGTGGCCCGATGGGTGGCCCGATGGGTGGTATGGGAGGAATGATGGCCATGATGGGCGGTAGGGGCATGGGCGGGGCCGGACGAGGCGGGCCGCCCCGTGGTGGGCCGCCTCCTGGGTATCCCGGCTTTGGTGGTCCACCACCCGGCATGGATGCCATGTCTGTCGTGAGCGGAAGCTCTGGTGACTCGATCCCCGACTTTTTGAGGCCTGGTGAATCCTACATTCCCCCCTCGAGCGGCTTCTTCTTTGGCCACACCCCCGAGGCCCTCTCTCTTGATAGGAGATTACCTCAAAAGGAGGCTGCTGATCGACTCACGCAACAATACTTTGCAGCAGTTCACCCCATTGCACGATGTGTTCACAGACCGTCCTTTGAGGCTGAGTATGTAAACTTCTGGGATGAAGTCTACAGCAACATTGAACCCAGGGCCTCCACTCAAGCCGTCATGTTTGCGGCTTGGTTCAGTGCCGCCGTGAGTATGGACGATCCGACAGTAAGGACGTTGTTTGGCGTCACCAAAGCCAACTTGATCGACCGAATGAAGACCGAGACAGAGAGAGCTCTCGGAAAGGCCAATTTCCTACGCACAACTAGAGTGGAGACCATGCAGGCTTTCATCATGTATATGGTACGTTGCGCCTGTTTGTGTTTCAGCAAGCTCGTGACTGACATCAATCACAGCTCCCGCTCTGCAGAGCCGAGGTATCTCGAGCTCACTCTGTTCTGGTCGGTGCCGCTGTCAGGATGGCCGAGTGTATGGGCTTGCATAGAGACGGAGAGACATACGGACTGAATCCTCTGGACACTCACGTTCGTAGACTTATCTGGCATCAACTCTGCTTCCTCGATATCCGCACCTGCGAAGCGCAAGGCCCCAGGCCGGCTATCAGGAGGGAAGATTACGACACCAAGCTCCCGCTCAACTGTGAAGAAGAAGACTTTTACGCTGCCGGACCGCCCCCTGAGCCCGCAGACGTGTGGACCTCTTCTTTACTATCGGCGATTCGGACCGAGTGCAACGAGATGATGCGCGTAATCTGGCTGGACCGCCGCAGGCTCGAAACACGCAAAACGACACTCACTGCTGTTCTCCAGAAGATTGAAAACTTTAGGCGGCGAATGGTGGAGAAGTACGAACATTTACTCGATGGCGAAATCCCTATTCAACGCTACGCGAAGTTGGTTATGAATCTGCTCCTCTACCGCCTCCACGTCATGATCCTTCACCCCTACCACGCCAACGCCAACAGTCCCATGACCCACCGCCTCAACAACCTACTCGTCACTTCTGGCATCATGATCATTGAGATCTCGATACAGCTTGAGAACGACCCGCAATTCCGAGACTGGGCCTGGTATCTAGGCGCCTACCAACAATTCCAGATTGCTCTGCTCTTGGCCACTGAGATCTACTACAGACCGCAAAACAGGGAGGCTGACCGTATCTGGGCTTGCCTGGATTACGTCTTCGGAACAGACCGGACTCTACCGCCTGAGATGAAGGGCTTGCAGATTTTGGGGGAGATTATGAGCAAAATGGCAACATACCAGAGTATGCGCAAGATGCGTGCGCCGACAGGAACCTCCCGAGCACCGCTAAACAAGACGGCCGTCAACGTGAGAAACGAGAATCAGGGGGGACAAAATGCCCAGCAGCCACATCCCGGACTGGGCATGCCGATGGGCTTCAAAGCAGAGCCTGGCATGGGTGGTCCTGGTATGCAACAATCTTCACCGATGAGCGGCATGGGGTCTCCGGGGATGGCGTCTCCGCCCAACGCCCAGATGCAAGGTCCGCCTCCAGGAATCGTCTTTGCGGGTGTGTCAAACGGCGAGGCCATCTGGAGCATGCCGCCCGTAAACGCGGACAGTCCAGAAAGTGTCAGCGATGGGGCCAGTATGGGCGGTCACAGGCCCTCGCAACCGATGAATATGATGAACCCTCTCGAGGGCGTAGATTGGGTAAGTTCATCTCGTACCGCAACACAAGTAATTCGCAATTTACTGACTTTTTTTCTTTTTCTTTTTAGGATGTTATTAACGGTCTTTTCCCTCACGATCCTAATACTGGCGAACTGAACATTTCCGGCTTCAACGATCCAACGCTCGGGTTGGTGAACGGGTTTCACTGGGCTCAACGATGAGCGTGGATATAAGAGGGCATATTTCTTGCTGTTTATGCTTATTTTGCTGCATCAATGTATTCGACCATTCGCGCGACCATGTGCAATGGGTTGGAAAGCTACTGCTTTCTGGCTGCTGAAGCTCAAAAGATCCCACGATACCACGGCTATTTTGTTTTACGCCTGTTTGGTTTTGATTTATGCGTAATGCGGAGTTTGATGGGGGCGAAGTCTTCCACAGAGGGAGAAAAGTTTCACGAATGGGAAGACATCCCTTGGTCACGAGTGTTAATAGAGGAGGACTAGCAATGGGGGATGTACTAACAGTTCATCATGAACGACTGAAATGCCTGGAGGGAGTTTAGTTGGGGGATGATGTAGGTGACGTGTTTACATGAGGTTGTGCGTAATAGAAGTAATCTCTTACACGAGCCAGAATTTCTTTGAACCAGGACAGTTTACTTGACATTGGAACTCGATAATGTGCATCTACTCGTTGGGGCAAAAAGGGAACGACTGATACAGCACAAACTGCAACGGGATCTTTTTTCGATTGACTGAAATCAAATAATATGAAGTATGAAATAATAGTAACCCAAGAGGTATCGTCGTGCACTCTGCCAAAATGAAAAAAAACAACACAAGCCATTCTTTTAGCCTTCCCTTCCCTGCCCGTCCGTCCCGTTCTGTCCCCTCTCCCGATGTGCCAGAACAGAATGAGAATATTTCGTAAACGTCGTAATCTTGGGTTTGTTCTTGTTTGTTTGGTATCCCCGTTTCCCTTGAAACCAATGTACTTAATCGTCCCATATAATGTACTGTCCCACAACCCGTTCTCCGGGACCTCCATCCGTTCCATTACATCTATATCACACCCATCTTTTCCCTTCGTATATTGCTTTTTCTCTCTTCTCTTTCACACATAGGTATAATATCCATCGCCAGTGCAAGCTCCTTTACCGCAAGTTGGAGGCTTGATCGGGCAAGAAAGTTCCCATGCTGAGATCGCTGTGCGTGGCCGCCGTCTGCCCGCCGAGCGACGCACCGCCAGCGTCGCTCCCGGGCGTAAACAGCCTAACGGACTTGCCCTTGGGCCGAGCCACCAGCACCTGGGCAGGACACACAACAATCTCGTCGTCATTGTTACCGCCGTCGTCGCCCTTCTTGACGACGAGCGGGAACAAGACGATACGCACAACGGCGCTCTGGGCCTCGAGAGCCTCGTTGGTAGCAGACTTGTCGGCGCTGCGCTCATTCATGAGCGCCGCGTTGAACGTGACAGTCTCGGCGAGCTCGCCGTCGGCGTCATACTCTGGTTGCAGCGGCGGGAGCATCATGTACTCGGCGCGCTGGGTGCGCATCTCGATGGAGAGGTCGACGGCCTCCCGCATCACACGGCGCAGCTGTGATTGAATTTGGTCCTCCAGGTTGGAAGGGGGAGGGAGGACCCTGGACAGCGTTTGGAAGATGGCTTGGACCACGGCCTCGGTGTCGAGGTCGCGCTGGTGCTTGAAGCTGGGGCGTTTAGAGAGCAGCGTCAAGGTGACGGCGCGCCATTGTCGGACAGCCGGGGGAGGGCCGACCTCGGTAAGCAGCTTTTCCAGCGACTTGAGCTTTTGTCGCTGCTCGCGGTCCATGCCAAAGAGGTAGCGAGTGAACACAAACTCCCAAATCATGTTCATCGTCATGGACATGAACACATCTCGGCGCCTGACACGGTCGCCGAGGTAAGTGTCCACATCGGTGCCATCGAGGATGGCGTTGTCGAGACGGTCAATGACCTTTTCGTCATTGATCTCGTTTGTCTTGCGGCAGGCGCGCATGTCAGAGAACTTCGAGAAGCGCAGAACCCACTGCTGTACGTGAGAGCAGAGCTGCTGACATCTGTGGTCAAAGTGGTCGACATCCTTGACATTGAGGAAGTCGCTGTCAGCGCCCTTGGATGCCAGGATCTGGCGCTGCATCTGTCGGATCTTGTCCTTGGCCGCATCGAGCTCAGAGCGTAGGCGGCCAATCTCGGCATCCTTTTGGAGCAGTGACTCCTGGAAGTGGTTATGCTCGGTGCGCGCTTGCTCTAATTGCCTGGAGGCATCAGAGTGCTGGGTCTCCAATGACCGGTAACGCTCATTGTGTTGGGCAGCAAGCTGGGTATTGGCGCTGTTCAAGCCCTCGTTGACCTCTGTCAATCGGGCAACCTCCTTTTGTAGAAACTCAAGTGATTGCTTGAGAACGTCGATTTCGGCATCGCGCTCTGCCAGAATGCCAGAGGCTCTGTTGCTGTTGTGGGTATCGGTCTGAGATCGGGCGTCTGTGAGCATGCGGTTCTCCGCCATCAATTGTTCGACGCGGGACTCGAGCTCGAGGACTTGCATGCTCTGGCGACGTCGCATGCTGTGTGGACGGGTAGGCGATCGGGGAGAGCCGATGCGGCCTTCACCGAATCCATCCTACGATTGAAGGTCAGTCAAAGTTCGTCGTGACGGTGGCTAGCGATGCTGTCACAAGCGCTTCCAGCTAAAAACAAACACCACCTGGGAATCGCAGGCGGTGAGGCAATAAAGCAGATAGAGAGAAATAATTGAATAAAAAATGTGCGTGACTTACGAAGACGTCGGCCATGTCCTTGGTACGGACACGACCTTCGTTGGCGACGGGGGTGTTTGAGGAGCTGGTCGGGTCCTTGGGGTCCTTGTTGAGGTCAAGCTGACTTCGTTGGCTGATGGATCGCAAGTCTCCGCTTACACGCCTGTCGACCCGGCGAAGAGGCGGGGTGGCGGTGCCTGACCGTTGGATGCCTGGGCTCTCAGGCCGGAACTTAAGCGGTTCTGGCGTTAGCGCCCCAGTGGCCCGCCGGTGCCGTGACAGGCTGCTGTTGGACATGGACCTGCGCGCTATAGGCTCTGTAGGTGCTGGAGACTGCAGCCGTGCTACCCTGTCGGAAACGCTGCGATTACCTGGTGGCGGAGTACTGCGTGGTGACGAGACTGTGCTGCTGATTGCTGCACCAGCCAAGGCAGCCGACGCCAGGTCCTGGTACTTGTTTCTTCGCATCTCAAGCTCTGGGCTGATGCCCCGTTTGTGCTTCTGCGGCTCTGGAGTCAACTCCCTTCCTGCAGGCTCTCGCAATACGGGTGTTCTGGAAAGTGGGTGATCGCGAGCCTCTCCTTCGATCAGTGAGGTCTTCTCCGGCGACTTGACTCTCTCCAGATCTCTAGATCGTCGTCTTTCGCTTTTTTGAAACCTCAACTCTGGAGTCCGTTGTCCATCGCGGCCTGGTGATCTTTGTTCCTGCCAATCCCGAAGATGAACTCCGCTGTCTCGTTGCTCCTCATTATCGAAACCTCCCCTTCTGAGAGGGTGAGGCGAGCTGGGTACAAAGCCGCTGTCTCGTGTTGGGTCAGGTGAGCCTGTGGTTGTGCGAGAAGCAGGCCTGTACAGCAATCGAGGTTCGATATCGCTTCCATCGTGACCCTCCTCCTGAACGGGCGGCAAGATGCTCGGCACCGGACTCCGGAAACCGCCCATCTCAAAGGTCCGCTCAGGGCTGTTTGGTGAACGTCCGACGAATAGATCGCGACGGGCCTCAGCCTCGAACCCACGATCGACTGCTTCATCCATATCGCTAACCATGGTGTTTGTCATGGGAGACCTGGTACCCCGGTTCAGTGAGCGTTGTTGTGTCGTGATGTTGGCAGGCTCGCTCGCTTGCTCCGTTCCGATTTCTTTGCCAAGAATCGGGCTCTCAATGTTGTCGTCTTGAGCCTTCTCCTTGAGCGGTGCTGTGAGGCTCAGAACATCCTTAGCCTGTTCCTCCTCCTGTGACCTTCCTTTTGATACGTCCTCTACCAAGCCTTGAGATACTGGAGACGCGTTGGGCTCTTGTTCATAGACAATAGTCTCCTGTGCTTCAATGGGGACGCCCTCCTGTTGCTGAAGCGAGGGACCGAAAACGTCGTCCGCCATCATGCTTGTTCTTGTTGACTGCTCAGGTAGCTGGTCATCGGCCGTATTCTCGCCGCCGCCCCAAAAGTCTTCCACCTCTTTGCTTGCAATCTCGCTGACATGTTTCCTATCGGCACCTTCCCAGAGAGAAGGATCATCAAACATGTCTTCCTCTTGTGCTGCGCGCTTGTCCTCGTACTTCGACTTCTTTCCCTTCTTCTTCTTACCGCTGCTCGATTTGCTAGCAAAGACTGCCGCACCGGCAGCCATTGCTGCTGCCCCGACTGCGGCGCCGATGCCTGATGACTCGGATGCCTTCTTCTCTGGTGTGATTGGCTGGACAGATTCATCCGGCTTGTGGTCATACTTGTGCTCCATGTACGAAGCGGCGATGTCAAGGGATGCAGCCGGCTCTGGTTCCCGAAGAGGCTCATCTTTGCCCGCGCTGTGCCCAGGAATATTTTTTCCAAGGGGTGTATCAGCTTCCGGGGTAGGGAGCTCATCCTCAACCTTGCTGATGCCCGCTGCTGGTGTCTCACGGTCATCAAAGTACGCAGCAGCAACATCTCTAGAGCTGACAATCGGCTCGGGGAGGAGAGTGTCGGACAACTCTCTCGTCTTCATCTTCTTGCGTTTGTTTGACTGATCGAAGGGCAGTTCATGAACGACGTTGCTGGTCTCCTGTGCGGGAGTGAGATCGATGTCTACTGACTTATTCGAAGTAGGAGACGTGGTATTGACACCCACAGGCTCGGGAACTATGCCTGCAGGTGATTCGAGGGCTGATGCGGTTTCTGGAGGTGGTGGCGCTGAAGGGCTTCGAGTGATTTCGCGAGGTGCACTGTCGAAATACTCAACCGTGTCTTCCGTATCTTCAGTTCGGCTAGGTCCAGGCACAATCGTTCCTTGTTCCGGCTGTAAGTTGGCGCTGATGGGAGAGCGATCCAGTGAAATTGACTGCTTCTTGCTCTTTTTGTTCTTCTTCGACTTCTTGGCGGCGGGAATGTCCCATTCATCATCACCAGCAGCGACAGGTTCAGTCATTAATTCTGGTTCGAGCATAGCCGCTGTCTGATGACCTGGGTCTTTCAATGAAATAGAGCCCTTCGCAACATCCGTCTCAGCAGCGGTGACCGGGAGGTTCTTTGACGTCTCCAGTGCGGCGAAGCCGCCTTGAGGTAAGACTGGGGCGCTGGCCTGCTCCTCAACGATCGTTTCTGGCTCATCCGCAAAGGAAAGTCTCTTGGCCTTCTTCTTGTCCTTCTTAGACTTCTTGGAGACGAACTCCTCCGCAATGGGTTCTTGCGGTGCAAGGTCGATGACTTCGGGCTCCTGAACGATCCCCCGAGAGATGTCCTCAGGCCCTGGCTCGGCGAAGGTGGCTTGCTCAGAAGCTTCGGTGGTCTCGAGGATGGGCGAGGCCGGCTCCTCAAACTGCACCTGGCTGGCGCGCTTTTTCTTGTCTTTCTTAGACTTCTTGACGACAAAGGTCTCTTCAGGTTCCTCCGTGAGGGCACTTTCACGGACATCTGGTGCGCTCGTTGCCTCTACGGGGCGCTTATCGTCCTGTTCAGACACATCCATTGGAGCGCTAGGCAAGACTTCATCCACCTGGTCAACTGGGATCGTCTCGTCACCGACAACCTGCTGCGGCGTAGATTCAGTAGCCAGCGTATCTTCGGAGATTGTCTGAACTTGGTTGAGATCTTCTCGGCGTTCAGGTGTCATGGCGTCCATTATTTGGGGGCTAGCTGAGGCGTCAAGAGTGGGGAGGGGTTGAGGCACTGAAGTGGATTCGAGGGATCTGTCTGTTGCGAGATCATCCCTCGTGAAGGCCGGCTTGTCGCTCGAAGCATGGTCCTCGTGTGTCGAGATATCTTCCGCTGGAAGAGGCTGTTGATCGAAAGCTCGCTCGGTTTCTTGCTGCTCCGTCGACTCAAGCTTAGGTGTTGCCGTGCCAGAAGCCAGGGGCGACTCGGGTTCGACGTCGTCGAATGCCAGGCTCTGTCGCTTCTTCTTTTTCTTGTCCTTTTTGCTCTTCTTCGCAGGCATGAAATCGTCAAGATCAGCAGGAGCTGCGGCCTCTGGCTCGGCCACGACGTTGGAACTTTCGACTGAACGGACTTGATCAGAAGCACCCTCGGGCAAATTCTCAACTGCGATGGGAGCGATGGATTCTTGCTCAGTCGAAGGGGCAGCATCAGACTGGCTGTCCAGTCCTTTTGGCTTGGATTCAAGGTCCAGAGTGGTCGTTGGCATGTCGGACTCTGCAAACTGCCTTGGCTGAGCATCCTGGGAGTGGACAGCTGCGGGCTCAGTCTCCGGAATCACTGAGGCTGACCCCTCAGCAGGCAAGGCCGTTCCCTCCACAGGCTCGACGGCTGAGCTCTCCCAGATGGATCCTGCGGTGTTTGGCTTTTCGATGGGATCGGTGGCAGTGTTTTCCAAGGTGGCCACTTGCTCCTCGGCAATTGGAGTAGGGGGTTCAAGCTCCGTCAATGTAGTAGACTTCTTCTTCTTCTTCTTGTCTTTCTTAGACTTGTTGACTGTGAACTCTGAAGGCTCCTCGGCAGCCGCTGTCTCTTCGGCAGTCTTCTCGGGCTTAAGCTCGATTGATTTCACAGAAGCTGATGGCTCAGGCTGGTTCTCGGCCAAGAGCGCAGGAGAAGGTTGTTGTATGTCTGCCGCCAGCTGTTCTTGTGAGACATCCTGCGATGACGAAGGCTGTGCTACCTCTGGAGCTGATACTTGTGTCGAGTCAGCCTCAAGTGACGGTTCCACTGAGGCCTTATCAAGCGGGACATCTGAGGCCATCTTGCTATCGGAGGTCAGGGGCGTGTCGGTAGTCATAGCATCATCAATATGTGCTACTTCCTTTTCGTTGTCTTCAACGGTGGTCTCCATCGGTGTCTCGGTTCCAGATGCAAGATCCAAATCCTGCTCGACCATGGACTTCTTCTTTTTCTTCTTGTCCTTAGATTTCTTGACGGGCGCGTTCTCGGGCCATTCTTCCTCAACTGGTGCGTCGATTGGAAGTTGGGAGTCCTTAGCGATGGAATCTTGATCGATGACAGTCTTCGGTTCAGCCGAGGGCGCTGGCGCGAGGATTTCCGCCACGGAACGGTCCTCCACCTCTTGAATTGGGGTGGAAATTGGCTCTGCCTCGGGGAAGTTGGCATCTGTAGGAGTCTTGACTGGCTCGACAGAGATATCGGGCGACTGTATTTGATGCCTCTCAGCTTCGAGTGCATCAGCTGGAGTGGCAGCTCCCGATGTGATCTCAATGTCGTCCTGAGTCTTGCCCTTCTTCTTTTTCTTGTCCTTCTTTGACTTCTTCTGGAAGGCTGGAAATTCGTCGTCGATGTTTGGAATCTCGGCAGACGCCTCAACAGGGGTCTCGACGGGGGCCACACCGGGAATTTCAGCGGAATAGTCTCCAACTAGGGCTGAAGTAGCATCTGTATCAATGGTCGGCAACTCGGCATTGGCCACGTGCACCTCCTCGGCCTCATTGGTAACAGAAGGAGGCTCGCTTTCTACCTTTGTCGTCTCTCTGACGTCTACAGTGACGGCATCTACCTGGGGTTCCGAGATGTCCACCGAAGTTTCTTTGGTCGATTCGGTTGAGTCAGGTGCAGGAACATCGGTGCTAGCGGCAGCCGGTGCTTCTTGAACATCAGGAGTAGATACATCAAGGTGGTCTGAAGGCTCCAAGACGGTGGGTGTTGTCGTTCCAGAGGGGCGATCCGAGTCGTCCTGAAGCTTGCCCTTCTTCTTCTTTTTCTTATCCTTCTTAGACAGCTTCGGGGAGAAATCATCCTCCACAGATTTAGAAGACTCCTCGGCGGCAGCAGCAACATCGGCATCTAGGAGAGGCTTGTCTGTTGCCATCGTTTCGGTGGCCTCTTTGGCAGGCTCCTCGATAGGTGCTTTGGGGCTCTCGAGATGCATCGACTGATCGGCAGACTGGTCGATTGTGGCACTTGGCATTGACGAAGAAGGCTCCTCTACTGCGGCAAGTATGCCCTCGGTGGATAGAGTAGGATCGCTCAGCGGAGGCTCCGGGACGCTCTCAGCAATAGCCTCGATAGAAGGCTCTGCGACAGGTTCGCTTGATTGGGCGGCAATACCAGGCGAAGGGCCAGATTCAGGCTCAAGGATTTCCAAGGCCTTGCCCTTCTTCTTCTTGTCTTTCTTCGTCTTCTTCTCGATCATCGGGAAGTCGTCATCGACATTGACATCCGGAATTGCGGAAGTATCGATCTGGCTCTCAGGCTTTTCTGACGCCTCCTTCACCTCAAGAAGCTCAGGACTAGCATCCCTAGGAGCATCCTCAGACGTCGCGGCAGTCTCTACTTCAGGTGCGGGTGGCTGCTCGGATGAGACGTCTGCCTCGTCGTCTGCAGCCTTGTCGTGGTGGATATCCTTGACTTCAGCTGCGATGACCCCGGCGGCGGCTGCAGCAGTAGCAGCTGCTGCCATTTCGGCCATCTTCTTCTTCTTCTGTTTCTTGTTCATGCCCTTGAAAGGGTCCTTCTCGTCGATGGGTGATGCCGGCTCGGACTTGTCGATGGGCTTCTCTTCGGCAGCTGCCTCTGCAGGAGTCTCTTCGACGATCTTGCTCTCAGCTGCCATCTCCTCGGGCTTCTCTACAGGGACTTGTGGAGCTTTTGTAGTGGCAAGCTCTGAAACTGCAGTGGCTGCAGCCAACTCTGCAGCAGCGGCCATCTCAGCCATCTTCTTCTTTTTCTGCTTCTTGTTCATGCCCTTGAAGGGTTCCTCCTCGACCTGAGCCTCGACCTGGGGCACCTCTGCAACGGGCACATCTTCAACAGCCTTCTCGTCGGTAGCTTTGTCGGCAAGAGTCGACTCCTCGGCAGTCGGGGCTTCAGCAGGAGTCTCTTCAAGAGCGACATCTGCAGGTATCTTATCGGCAACCTTGTCCTCACCAACCATCTGCTCAACTGCCTTCTCTTCGGCCTCAGCAGCGGCCATTGCAGCCAATTTCTTCTTCTTTTCCTTTTTGCTCAGGCCAGCGAAAGGGTCCTCTTCGACTTGAGGCTGCTCGAGCTCCGGTTCGGGCACGGGCTTCGACTCAGCTGCAGTCTCCTTGGCAGCAGACTCCTCAACAATAGGCTCCTCGTCGACGAGCTTGGCTGGAGCAGGCTCAGAAGGTACTTGTTGGGCCTCCGAGACAGCCTCACCAGCGGCAGCAGCTTCGGCAGCCTTGGCGGCGGCAGCTATCTCGGCCATCTTCTTCTTCTTTTGTTTCTTGTTCATACCCTTGAAAGGGTCTTCGTCTGCCTTGGCTGGCTCTGATACTGCCTCTGACACAAGTTCTGGTTCCGCCGCGCGTTCGGGCTCCACGGCGGACTGCTCCTTGGTCGGCGTCTCGATCGTAGTCTTGTCAGAAGTCATCTCTTCGACAGGCGTCTTGTCCTCGGTGGTAGTTTCCAGTCCGGACGCGTCGTCTGTGGAATGTGTCTCGATGGGGATCTCATCGGCAGACTTCTCATCGGAAGGCTTCTCAACGGCAGGCTCCCTCCCAGTAAGCTCCTCCTCGGTGGAGGTTCTCTCAGCGACCAAGTCCTCTGTGGGGTGCGACTCGACAAGCTTCTCAGCGGCAGCTTCGTCTTCCGTGGGCTTCTCGACCTCGACAGCTTCGACAGTGGCGGCAGCCTCAGCGGCTTCAGCGGCCGCCTTCATCTCGGCCATCTTCTTCTTCTTTTGTTTCTTGTTCATACCCTTGAATGGATCCTCTTCAGACTTCATCAACTCCGGCGTAACCTCTGGCATACTCTTGACTTCATCTGGAGTTTGCGGTTCTGGCGCAGAAGGTTCCTCGGCAGCGGTTTCCTCAGTAAGCCGCGCCTCTGGTGGGGTCTCAAGAGTAGCAGGCGTGGAGTCGGCGGTTTGTTCCTCGGCGGCAGGCGTGGGTTCCTGAGCAACGGCCAGAGCGGCAGCGGCAGCGGCCATCTCTGCTTTCTTCTTTTTCTTCTGTTTGTTGCTCATGCCTTTGAAGGGATCCTCCTCGACCTTAGACTGCTCCGATTCCAGAGGCGCCGTCTCTTCGATACCCTTGTCTTGCTCAGGCTCTACTTTGACAGATTCTTCCTTTTGCTGCTCGGGAAGCTCAGTCGTGACGATGGGCTCTTCCGCGGGTTCCTTCGGTTGGGCGATCGCTTCGTCACCAGGAACGACGGCTTCTTCGCGAGCTTCCTCCACCTGCGATGCGGGTATCGATTCCGGCGTGCTTTCTGCCTCTGGAGCAGGAGAGTCCTCTAGAATATCTTGCGCGGTGTCCTTGCTCTTCTTGTCCTTCTTCGATTTCTTCGAGGTGGTAAGCTCTTCCTCCACAGTAGTCGGCGTTTGGTTCTTAGAGATGGGATCTTCGGATACAACGGTTGGTGACTCGGTGTTCGCCGCTGTCTCTGGTGGAGTAGCCACCTCCTCCACGGCTTGGGGGTTTGGCTCCTCTGCGGCCTGCGTGACGGCAGGCATTGCTAGTGGCTCAGAATTCTGCGGTGCTTCTAATAGGTCAATCTCCTTTGCCACGAGCTGCGCTTCCGGCGTGGCTGGCGGCTCATCTTGGGTGTCGGAAGCAAGACTGTTCTTCTTCTTCTTATCCTTCTTGGACTTCTTGGTGACAGCTGGGAACTCTTCCTCTGCAAGTGGAGTGGTGTTGTCTGCAGGTGTCTCGAGCGGTGCTGGAGAAGGATCAGTCTGGCCGGAAGGCTCTGATGGCAGTTCCTGCTTGACTTCGGATACTCCAGCCATAGGGGCAGAGGAGGCTCCTGCTTCCAGGTTGGTAGGCTGCAAAGTTGCTGGTGAGTCCTGGGTCGGTGGTTCTTCCTCAGACTTCGAAGTCGAGAGGTCCTGAGCACCGGCCTTTAGCGGGCCTTTGGACTCTGGCTCTGATGAAGCTTGCACATCTTCAGATGGAATTTGTGCTGCGTCGCCAAGCAAAGGGGCGTTGTCAGGTGAAGCAGAGGAAGATTTCTCTAGCGGAGTCTCCAGTTGAGGGAGTTCCTGGCTATCGTCCAATGAAAGACTTTGCTGCTTCTTCTTCTTTTTCTTGTCCTTCTTGCTCTTCTTCGTCGGCTCAAAGTCATTGATGTCGGCCTCTGCTGGTTCGGCCGGCAGCTCATCATTTGTCGTTGGCTGTGGTGAACTTTGAACTTCGTCTGATGTGCTTTCCGCCGGGGCCCGAACCTCTTCACTTTGCTTGGGCTCTGCGCTCTCCGGGGTGTCCGCAGACTCCTCTGTTGACTTGTGGTCGCCAGCATCATTACCCTTGGAGGCTTGGTCTACTGAAGACTGTAAAGGCGCTTCAGGCTCGGTGGGAATCTCGCGCGTTTCAGGCGCAGGCGAAGGCTCAGTGCTCTGCTCTTCCACTGCAGCAGATGCCTGAGCTGCAGCCTTTTTCTTTTTGTCTTTTTTACTCTTCTTGCCAGCTGGTTGAATTGCCCATTCATCCTCGCCAGCCTCGATTGCTTCTCTTACGGCGGTTGCTTCCGGGGCGTCCGTGACATTCGGCCCCGCCTGCTCCGGTGCTTGGACTGATTCGTCAACGGCCCTGACAGCCGGGGCTCCATCTTCCACAATCGGTGACTTGAGATTTTGGACATCATCCTGAGGAATTGGTTCAGATGTTGCAGCCTTGGTCTTCTTCTTGCTGTTCTTCTTTTCCTTCTTGGACATCTTGCTCGAGCTTGAGGGCTCAGAACCAACGTCGTCTTCCTGACCGACTTGTGTTTCGGTCTGTTCGGGGTCGTGAGTGGTACTCGGGTCCCCTGTTGGTTCAAGGCCGGGAAGAGTCTCCGAAAGCGGCTCTATTTGCGGCTCCGGCAAGATCGGTTGACCCAAAGATTCCGATAGATCTGACTGACCCGGGAATCCAACATTGGCGGCGAGAGAATCGAATTCGTCTCTCTGGTTCTTCTTTTCTTCTTCCTTCTTTTCGACGTCTGAAATTTTGTCTAGTTGTTGAACGTCTTGCAGAAGGGTCTCGGTCTCGGCAGTAGAGTCAGTAATCCCCGCGTCAGATTTTTTGCCAACCTCCAATGATGTCTGACTGGGTACCTGTCCCTCCTGTGTGCCCTGTCCTAGAGGTTGGGGGATCGCCGTGTTTGTGTCTTGGTTCGCCAAGGCTGTGACCGGGGGTTGAAGTGGGTCTCCAGCCTCCAGAAGCTCCAGGGCCGAGTCGGTGAGGGCCGGTCCCACGGCTTGGTCATCCGCTATCCGCCTGTTTTGCGTGTTCTCCAGTGATTTGTCGTCAATCGGCTCCACACCCGCATGCAGGCCGGGGTCCTGGCTGCCGACCTCTCCCGTTTGAGCGTTGGATCCCGCTGATGGTTCGTCAATGGTGTCAGGGCGGCCCGCAGCTTCGGGGTCCGATGTTGCACCAGCCTGAGCCCTAGCCACCTGCTCCGCGTCTACCTCGTGCTCCCGCTCTAATGTCTCACCGCCCTTCTCGTTGGCCACTTCAGCGCCGCCTTCACTGGAAAAGGCAGGCGTTGAAGGCTCCCGGGTCAGAGAATCCATTGGCTTGCCTGCAACTCCCCGCGTGCTTGTGTTCAGCCCAGGAGATGACGGAACATCATCGCTGGGGGTCGCGGTTGTGTCTTGCAGTGTGGGCAGGGCCTCCTCACTGGGCTCGCCTGCAGGGTGCATCTGTGCTTGGCCATCAGAGTCGAGATCCTTCTCCGCCACAACTGTGGCTGTTTGTTGGTCGACATCCTCGTCTAAACCTTGCGAGGTCGGAACATCGCCTGGACTGCCTGCTTCGGGCAACTCCCCTGCCCTTGACGCATCCTGAGCCGAGCTTGGCTCGACAGTGGAAGATACCTCAGATATGGAGTCGCGTTCGATGTTGCTTGTCGTGTCCAAGCCACCGTCGCCTTCATGAGGCATTTCAGGCTTAGGTTCAACAAAGGTCGAGAAAGACTCCAGTTCAGGTGCCCAGGTCACGGATTTCCTCTTCTTCTTGCCCGCAGTTGTAGCAGTCGGCCACTCAGCCTCTGTCGGCGTGTCTGCTTGCGGGAAGGGGATTTCGTCACTGCTAGGCTCTCCCGATGGAGAGGTCAAATAAGCGGACTGTTCTCTTGTATTCGCTACATCTGCCGAGTTTTCGAGGGTACTCTCCGGGTCCAGGGTGGAAGACTTCTTGCCCTTCTTCTTCTTCTTTCCCTTTTTGGTAACAGTTGGTCCTGGGTCTGCCTCCTCTGAAATCTTGCTGTCCGTAGCGAATTCTCCGCTCGCGGTGGGTTCTTGCGATGATTGCTCCATCTCCCCAATCTTGTCTGAAATGGTCGTGTTCGAGTTTTCAACGTCTGTGACCGTCTTGTCTGTGATTGACTCGTCCGTGACCGTCTCGTCCTTAGTATCCTTCTTGTCCGAATCCTTGGTAGCGTCCTCAACGGCCGGCTCCAATGTTATGGCGGCAGCGACAGCTGCTGCGGCGGCTGCAGCAGCCTTCTTGGCCTTCTTCTTGCTCTTCTTGGATGATGCTGCTTCGGGTTCAATTGGAGACTCCGGACCACGATCCTGCTGGTCCTCGGCGAAGGTTTCTTGCGGTTTGGACTCAAGCGAGTCAACTTGGCTGTCAACAAGTGTCGGCTCCTGGGAAGCATTCTCGAAAACCTCGTCTGGGCTAATGGGAGTCGCAGGCCCTTGCGGAGGTGTGAGGAAAGCCTCATCCTGGCTTTCGGTCATTGTTGGCGTTTGAGGTTCCACTTGAGTTGCCTCCTCTACAGCGAAATCTGTCGGCTTGATATCAATTTCCTGCGATTGATCGGCTTTCTGCGCGTCAGTCGCAGAGGACTTCTCATCGATCGTTGCATTGGATGAAGTACCCTTTGCGGGTTCGGCAGGGAGCTCTTCGTTGATGCTTGGCACCTGGACATTATCTTCGGGTGCTTTCTTGTCCTTCTTCTTCTGTTTCTTCGACTTTTTAAGTGACTTAGAAGTCTCCTCGGTCGGAGCTGAATCTTGCTGTTGCTCAGTAGAAGGCGAAGAAGGTGTAGGGGCCTCGAGAGTGTCCGCCGTGACTGGGGCCGTCTGAAGGTTGGTGTCTTCTGGGTGATGTGCGTCCACAGGAATGGCTTCAGAAGCGTCGGTATCGGTGACGGTTTTCTGGCTGGACGGGTCTTCAGCCAGTGCGTCTGTAGTTGAGACATTCGATACGGGCGCTTCTGCCGCCGCTGTCGAAGTCTCAACCTCCGGGGTCTCAACAACCGGAGTCTCAACGACCGGAGTCTCAGCAGCCGGAGTCTCGATAGAAGTCTCAACGGCAGGAGTCTCAACGGCAGGGGTCTCAACGGCAGGAGTCTCGACGGAAGGAGTCTCGACAGAGGGAGTATCAATGGCAGAAGCTTTAGCAAAGTACTCGGGAGCAGGGCTCTCGATTCCCCAAGCATCGAACGCCGGGGTGTCGATGGCGGGACCTTCGCCAATAAGGGCATCGGTAGCAGCAGGCTCATTGATGGGAGCCTTGTTGGTAGGAGCTTCAGTGGTAGGAGTCTGAACGCCTGGGGACTGGAGGGGAGTCGACTCAGACGACATCACGTCATCCAGCTGCGACAGCGAAGCACCCTTGCCCTTCTTCTTCTTTTTCTTTTTCTTGCCAGATGCATCAGGCTGAATGGGCTCAGCCGGTGGCGGCTCCGTGAGACTAGGCTCAGAAGTTGCCATCGCGTTGTCAACAATGGCTGGCACATTGTCAGAAGTTTCAGGGGCAAGAATGGAGGCTTTCTCGGTAATATCCTCCGGAAGGGGGATTGCAGCTGCATCCTTCTCAGTCGGAGCTGGTTCAGATACATCGGTCTTCTCGGCAGCGTCTTCGGGAAGAGGCACTCCTGCAACATCCACTTCGGCAACAGTTTGTCGGGGGATCTGCTCAACGAAGTCGGTATCATCCTCAGGTAGAGGAATGGTGGTAGCATCTGGTTCAGTATCGGGTAAGACGGACGTCTCCTCCAATGCTTTTGCGACGGGCGCTTCGACTATTGCGTTCTCGACAGCAGGTTCTGCGGAGACAGCTAGAGAAGTGTCGTTATCGGTCGGTACCAAGTCCACTTCCGCAGCAGAAGGTTGTGTGCTTGCATCTGTTTCGGTGGAAGAAGGCTTTGCTTCAGGTTCGTTCAAAGCTTCGGCGGTCTGGTCCTTCTTGGACTTCTTCAGCTTCTTCTTCTGCTTCTTGGACAAGGAAGTAGACTCGGCTTCAGCTGGGACCTCTGCCTCAAGCGGTTCAACCGGGGTGTCATCGATGATTTGATCAGCGGCCGGTGGCTGCGAAACCTCGTCGCTCTTTGAAGCAGAAATATCTTGGCCAAAGACTGAAGGTTGCTGTTGCCATGGGTCCTCGTCTAGCTGCCAGGGGTCGTCTTCAAGCGTGGCCAGGCTTTCTTCTGGTGCTAGAGGTACAGGCTGAGTCTCTTCAATAGCCGCCACGTCGGTGTCGGCAGGCTTGATGTCTTGGTCAACAGTTGCAACCTGCTGCTCAGCCAAGCTGTCAGATGGACCGAGTGACTTGTCGTTAGATTCGGAGAGGGGCGGCAGTGATTCCGATGGTGTGTCGAGCTTTTCTTGGGGGCCGCGGATATCGAGTCGCTGGTCAGGGAGGCTTTGCTGGATTTCAGCGGACTTGGCTTCTGGCGCCTCAGGGGCGGACTCTTGTTGCAAGGATGTAACATCATTAGTGGTGCCAAGCGACCTTGCTTCGATGTCCAATGTAGGAGTGTCTTGTTGAGAAGAAACAGTTGAGGGCTCGAGGGCTGAAGTAGATAGAAGGGTTTCGTTTGTCGCATCCAAAGACTTCTTGCTCTTCTTCTTCTTTTTACCCTTCTTAGTGTCAGGAACCAGAGGTGAAGCAGGCAAGTCAGTCTCGACTTCCTCCTTGGAATTGTTGACATCAGGCAAAGGTTCTTGGGCCGCATCTAGGGCGGGGGCGGGAACCGGCTCCTCCGTGACGGGAAGTGCCGGCAGCTGTTCAGCTTCATCCGTGTCCTTGGCCTCCTGAACATTGACAGAGGGTGCCAGAGAAGGCTCGGGAAGGACTTCTGACGCCTTGAGAGTCTCGCTGGCTTGACCAGCGCTAGCTTGAGCGGCAGCCTCAGCAGCAGCAGCCATCTCAGCCAGTTTCTTCTTCCTCTGCTTCTTGCTCAAACCTGCAAGCGGATCTTCCTCTGCCTTGAGCTGCTCCGGCTCTGTTTCAGGCTTCTTCTCCTCGACGTCTGCGAGAGAAGTGGTTGCAGGCTGCTCAAGCTCAATGGCCTCCTTAGCTTGAGAGATGCTGGTTTCAGGAGTAGCAGTTGCTTCGGCGACTAGATTGCTCTCTTCGATGGGTTGCGTCGGTGATGCGGCGGTGGGCTGTTCGACTTCCACTTCTCTGCTGACCTCAGCGGGTTCAGCAGCATCAGCGGCCGCCTTCATCTCGGCCTTCTTCTTTTTCTTCTGTTTATTGCTGAGGCCGGCGAAGGGGTCCACATCATCCATCGACTTCTCTTCGACCACGGGTTTCTCCTCGACCTCGAGCTGCTCCTCAGGTTTAGGCCGTCCAGCCTCCAATTCAAGTGATTCGTTGACATGCTCGTCAGGAATTGGAACGGCGGCGGCGGCAACTTCGGAGGCGGCATTAGTGGCAACAGCCTCTGCGGCCTCTGCGGCCGCCTTCATCTTGGCCATCTTCTTTTTCTTCTGTTTGTTGCTGAGGCCAGCAAAGGGATCCACCTCCTCCATCGGCTTCTCCTCGATCGCTGACTTCTCCACGGTCACTGGCTTCTCCTCGACCACTGGTTTGTACTCGACCTTGGGTCGCTCTTCGGTCTTCGGATGTTCAGCCTCCAATGCTAGTGATTCGTCCACATGCTCAGGAAGTGGAACAGTGGCGGCGTCAACAGCAGTAGCCTCGGCTGCTTCGGTGGCGGCAATAGCGGCGGCAGCCTCAGCAGCCTCGGCGGCCGCCTTCATCTCGGCTTTCTTTTTCTTCTTCTGCTTGTTGCTCAAGCCAGCAAAGGGGTCCACCTCAACCTCGGGCTGCTCTTCAGGTTTGGCTTGTCCGAATTCAGGGTCAAGCAGCTCCTTGACATGCTCTTGCTTTTCTTCGGGCTTGGCCTCTTCAACCTCTGGTTCAAGCAAGTCGTCGACATGCTCGGGTAGTGGAATGGCAGCAGCGAGCTCGGCATCAGGAGACTCCTTCTCCTTTGGGGCATCGACTGGCTTGAGAGACGTCTCCGGTTCGAGCGACTCGTTGGCATGCTCAAGAGGCGGAACTGCGGCGGCGGCGACGGCTGCAGCCTTCATCTCAGCCTTCTTTTTCTTCTTCTGCTTGTTACTCAGGCCAGCAAATGGGTCCACGTCGACCTCAGTCTGCTGTTCGGGCTGAGCCTGCTCAACCTCCGGTTCGAGCGACTCAGCGACATTCTCAGGTAGTGGAACAGCAATGGCAAGCTCGACATCGGAAAACTCCTTCTCCTTGGGGGCATTGTCTGGTCCAAGAGATTCTCTAGTCTCGGGAGAGGTCTCTGGGACAGGTTTCGAGATCTCAGGAAGAGGAACACTTGCAGCTGTTTCCGCTTCCGTGGTGGTCTTCGTTGCCTTCTCAGCATCAATTGGCGGCTCCGAGACGGCTTCCGGAAGGGGACTTAAGGAGACGAGGGGTTCCTTGGCTTCAGAAGAGTCAGCTTCGTTGGTTACACTAGCGGCAGCCGCGGCCGCGGCAGTAGCAGCTGCCATTGCTGCCATCTTCTTTTTTTTCTGCTTCTTGCTCAAGCCAGCAAAGAGATCCTCTTCACTTTTGGGCACCTCCTCGATCTTGACTTGCTCCTCGACCTTGGCCGGTTCTTCAGGCACCTCCTTGATATTCGACTGAGACATGTCTTCAACCTTCTCAGAGAGCGGTTCAGCTGAAGCTTGCTCGATCTCGCGGATCTCCGCAGCATGTTCAAGGATTGGCAAAGAAGTCGGCAGGGCCTTCGCGTCGAGAGCGGTGTCAGGCTGGTGCTCGATAGAGGCCAAGGAGTCAAGAGGAGCATCAAAGGCTTCGTCTGAGGCATCAGGGAGAGGGATAGCCGCCGCTTGTTCAATAGCGGGTAGGAAAGTGGACGGTGCCTTTGTTTCGATAGCAATCTCCGGCTTGGGCGTGGGCTGAACGTCAGCTAGGGACTCCAGGGGAGCTTCGAACACCTTATCCGAGACCTCGGGTAGCGGGATACCCGCGGCTCGCTCGGCTTCAGTTGTCTCCGCGGTCTGTTCAAACACAGGCGCGAGGGCGGGCTGCGGTGTTGTGTCTGCTTCGGAGGCAGCTTTGCTGTTCTGTTCAGTCGGCTCGGCAGATCGTTCAAGCTCCTGCATCTCGGCCTGAGCCTGCTCCCAAGCCTTCTTGATCTTGAGTTGCTTTTTTCTCTCCTTCTTGGAGAGCTTCTTGTCAGACGCGTCGTCCTCGAGCAAAGGCTCAGATGTAACGGTTTCGGGAGCGACATCTTCGACCAGAGCACTGCGATCCACAAGTACGTCCTCCGCGACAGATTTGCCGGCGTGATGCCTGCCATCAAGCACAGCTGGAAGGTCCTCGACTGCATGGGGTGCCTGAACAGTGGGCTCCACAGGCGGAGTATCTTGAGTTAAAAGCAGCGGGTCATCGGCGCGATCAATTGAGGGACCAAAATCGGCTGAGAGAAGCGCATGCTCGTCGGCAGACGCAGCAGGAAGCGGTGGCAAAACATCCAAATTAATCTCATCGTTCGAGGAGACAGCGACTGAGGGAATCTCGGCCAAGGGCCCCACAGATCTGTCGACTGGCGCAACGTCAATAGTGTTGCTAGTTGAGGCGTGAACTGGCTCCTCGGTTGGCATGGCGCGAGTCTGATCGATTGATGGCAAGAAGTCCTTGTCGGTGGAGTCAATTGCGAGGTGCTCCGCTGACACCAACGCTTCTTCGACATCTGGCGTAAGAGCAGAAGAAGTAGGCCCATCAGAAGGGAGGACAATGCCATCGACTGACGCGCCCTTGCCCTTCTTCTTCTTCTTCTTGTCTTTCTTGGACATCCTGCCTTCGATTATGGGTAATTCCGCTGGTTCGGGAGCATCCAAAGTCTTTCCGTCTCGACCAATCTCTGTTGACTTGTCGTGAGACTTGAGACGGTCTACGAGATACGCAGCTCCCAGACCAGCCGCGGCACCTCCCAGTAGAGCGCCAATAGCATCATCGCGGGAGTGGCCGTCATGGTCAATCTCGGTCAAATTGGCGGCAACATCGCGCGATCGGTTCAGTGTAGGGCTTGATGGTGTGTCTGGTGTGTCACGATCCATTAGATTTTTGATGATTGATGGGGGCGTCATGTGTAGGAGATACGAACTTCTTTCTTTGGACGTCGTCTCGACTTGTTCCGGTTCGGGCATCTCAGTTGCGTGTGTCACGGGACTGTCGGGTAGAGCAGGTAACTGCCCTGACTTGAACTCCGGAATGTTCGAACGGTGAGTAGGACTGGCAATGGCCGTTGCCGGGGATGTCATAGGGCTAGCAGGAAGTGCGGGCAGCTTCTCTAGCTCATGCTCTGACAAGTCCAACCCCCTGGCGGTATCTGCAGACGGGGGAAAGCCAGGTGATGCCGCATCAAACATGGCACCGGCATGCTGGACTGCGTGCTCTGCCTTCGGAGTGGTTTCCTGCGAGCTGAAACGGCGCGTTGTTTGTTCAGGATAGCGCGACATATCCGTGTCAAGACGAAGGTCAGGCTCAAAGGGCGATGCCTGAAGCTGATGGAAGTAATTCACATCCTCATCACGCAGGGTGAATTCTGGTGCAGGAGATTCCCGCGATGACGGCTCGCTTGGAGGCAGCTCTGGGAAATCAATGGGTGGCTCCATTGACTGAGCTGCGGATTCCTGACGAGCCTGTTCAAGCAGGTAGAGGGGCTTGATCTCGCGACTGTTCTCCCACGAGATGGGCCTCGAGGGGCGCCTGGACAGGGAAGCGGGATGAGGAGGGGTGATGTGTGTGGTCTCGGGGAACGTCGGCACCGCTGGCGAGGTGACAGGCGAGACTCCGAAGGTACCTGGAGACGAAGGTGTCGACCTCTGCCCCAGTCGCAGCTTGAAGGGTACGGCTGTCTGACTCGGGCTTCTGATCGGTGTCTCCATGTTGCTACGCTTGCGGGCGTGTGTCTTTGGCGTCTTGGTCTCGTGCTGACGCCTCCGCTCCTCCGGTGGTGTCTCCGGCCGGCTGTCGGGCAGGGCAGGAAGTTCATCCAAGTCTGTCTGGGTGGGAGAGCCAGGAGTGCTGGGCGGCATTGGGCTGGGTGGCAGGGGGAGGAAATCTCCGTACTGAGGGTCGATGGCAGGTCTAATAGTCCGCGGCACGATCTCAGGGTCGACGATGTCTAGGTCTCGCGGGGGACTGGCGGATCTCTCGCGATCTCGAAGAGCATCTGACGACTCTTCCAACTGCGGTTCGGTGGCGTTGGAGCGGGACATCATGGAGCCCAAAGCTGCCACGGCGCTCGCCAAGCCGGCACCCGCGCCAAGGGTGCCGGCATTATCTAAAAAAGACGACTTCTCGTCCTTGCTGGAAACATCCTTGCTGCTTCTGTTTCCAAACAGGTTGTTAAAGAAGCCGCTACTGCGTTTCTCATCTTCCTTGGGACTCTTCTTGTCGTCTCGGCTGCGTCTCTTACGTTCGGAGCTTTCCGACACCACCGACTTGGCATCGTCGTCGTAGCGAGTTCCATTCGAGTGTCGGTCAGACTTCTCACGACGAGACGAACGGTCAGAGGTTACGGAAGCTGCGTCTCGATCGTCCTCACGGCGACTCTTGGAACGACGTTCTGACTTTTCGCTCCGTGTGGCGGGATCGGACACAACTGAACTAGCATCCCTATCATCGAAGCGACTGCTGCGGGACCGGCGATCGGATTTTTCACGCCGGCTTGAGGGGTCAGAGACCACCGAACTGGTGTCTGCGTCCTCGTATCGGCTGCTCCGGGATCGACGATCTGACTTGTCGCGGCGGCTCGCAGGATCAGAGACAACTGAGCTCACGTCGCGGTCGTCAATCCGGCTACTCTTGGAACGGCGCTCGGACTTGTCTCGCCTGCTCGATGGGTCAGATACTACAGAGCTCACATCTCGCTCTTCGAACTTGGAACGGTCCCGCTGAGACTTGGCCGGGAGGTCGTCCCAGTCTTCAAGATCGTCGCGAGTGCTGCTTCGTTCGACGGTTGGGGTCGCGGTGTAATCGCTCTGTTTGTCGACGTCTGTCCATTCGTCTGAGCTCTGCTTGGATTTCTTGGACTTCTTCTTCTTCGCATGCTCATCCCATGCGTCGTCGCCGGCCTCTTGGGGTTCGGTAGAGCGGTATGAATCCCTCTCGGGCAATTTCTCGCGGGACGTGCTCGGCTCGTTGTAAGAAGATGGCTCTTGAGTTTCTGGCTCATCATCGTCATATGTGACAATGATTTCAGATCTCGAGCCACGACTCTTCTTCTTTTTGTCCTTCTTTCTTGTTTTCGCCGATGTGGAGGCTTCAGGGTCTGTTAGGGCAGCTTCGGACTCCACCGTTCTAGAGACGGGAGTCTCGTCATGAGGGTGTGTTGTCAGAGAAGAAGTGGGCAAATCCCAGGTGGGTGCGTCTTGAAATCCACGAGTCTTCGGGCCAAGCGCCACAACGGTTTCCGGGCTTTGAGGGGTATCGTAATAGCTGCTTGGCCTCTCATAAGAAGGGCCTGTCTCTGCGTAGGGAGCAGGTTGGTCTCGGTAAGCCGTTGTAGGCTCGCCATAGTAACTGTGAGGTCTAGCGTAGGCGGGCATTGCTTGCGAGTATGGAGCGTGTGCAGGGTGTGGTGCAGCTTCGGCGACATCGTGGTAACTGTGAGATCTGGCGTATGCATGATCCATCGGAGCAAATGGATTAGGCTCAGGTCGTGATGTGGCTTCGGGAACGTCATCATAGCCGTGTGGTCTTTCGTAGACAGGGGCCGGTGCAGACGAAGGAGCAGGTTCGGGCTGTGATCTTGGTTCGGGGGCACCATACGTCTCTTCAGGTAGCACGTTGTCGAGACTTTGCCTTTTTGATGCCTTTTGCTTGCGCTTCTCCTTCTTGCTCAGCTTCCTCGACGGTTCAGTCTCTTCAACTGGCGGCTCCTGCTCGATGAATGGCACCTCCTTAGCCTTGCCCTTGTCACGACGTTCTTTTTCACGAGGAGAGTCGGTCGCGTGGCCGTTGTGCATTTCCTTCTCTGTGACTGGTGTTTCTGGCACCTCGCCAATGACAAAGCCGCGGTCGCCTGCAGTGGGCCCATCATGGGTATGATCGGGACCATAGATGCCCAGGTCGGTGACAGTCTCGACGAACGGCTGCTGGTAAACGGCCGGCTCACTTTGTCCTGGTGGGCTGTCGCGACGCATGTAGGTGGGGTTGTCGATGACAATGTTGGGATCAAACCCAGTGTCTTGAAGACCAGCCGCCAACACAGAGGCAAATTCTAGATCATCTGCAAAGGCGCCAGGCATCCTAGACGTCTGAGGGCTAGAAGGCTTGGGGCCTGGGGCGGGAGGCAAGTCTGCGTCATCTTCGAACGACGTGGTGAGCTTAGATGGGGCGGCTTCGATGATGGGTGATATAGGCTCAACGCTGCGGGACTTTGGTGACTCTGGGGGACTGTGTCGCTCCCTTTCCTCTTCGGGCTTGCTCTCGAAAGGATCGCGCATCTTGGGGGCTTCAGAGGCTTCAGAGACTGCAGCCGCAGCAGCTCCACCGGCAACGCCCGCAGCAATGATGCCCCACGGTGAACTCTTGCCCAGTTTCTTTTTCTTCTTCTTAGACTTACTAGAGGTGCTGGACAGCTCCTTGATTGGAGGCTCTGGGCTCTCGATCTGGAAGCTCTTGGTCTCATTCTCGCCCCAAGTGACTGACTTGGCTGTGGGCGTTGTCGGCCTTTCCACAACCTCGCCTCTGGGTCCAAAAACGATTTCTGTGGCAGGCGCGGTCGCAGAAGAAGGTGGCTCAGCTGAAGTAACGGATCGTGGTTGAACAGGCTCTTGACTTCTACTGGAGGGTTGTTCCTGCGCTTGCTTTTCAGGGGCGGGCGTGTGGCGCGGGGTAACAACGGGTGTGGGTAAGACGAGGTTCAGCAGAGGTCGCTCACGCTCAGCAGAAGGATCGCGAGACTGGAAGATTGGCTGTGCGCCAGGATCGAGTTGACGGTGAGGCAGACGGAAGCGAGAAAGCTCGTCGGGGATGATGACATGATCAATGCGAACATCGGCGTTGGGGGCGTCGTACGGGCTCTTGTCGTGAGGATGATCCATCTCGGGCGGTGTTACGATGGTAACGATGTCAGGGCCCTCATCGTGGTCCTGCCACTTGCCGACGACAGACTCATCATGAGGAGACGCACTGCGCGAGCGGATCTCGTCCTTGGCGATCTTGCGGGCGATGACAGTCTCACGGTAGTACCGATCGGCCTCTTCCTGTATGGCGTCCTTGGTAGTTCGGGATCTGTCGCGAGAGCCATCCTCGGTCACATGATCGTTGCGATGCTTGCGTGATCTCTCCTCTTCGACGGCGATGGCAGAAGCAATGGCGGCCGCGGCTATAGGCACGGTAGCGTGCTTGGCCTCATCGTAGATGGACTTTGCAGCATGCTGTTCCTCCTGAAGGGAATCTCTCCGGCGGCGCGGCTCAGGGGTCCGGGAACGGTCTCGTGCTCCTTGCTGATACTGCTCCAGACGCTTCTCGAGTTCAAAGGAGTCTTTGCGGCTCATTCGGGATTCGGAGTAGTCGGGCTTCCTCGGCGGAGAATCGTCAAAGTTGGGTTCGCGGTCGACGGTCACGACCTGGGGAGTCAGTGGCCTCTTCGGGGTGGCGTACTTTGGCGTTTGGAACGCATCATCAGCGACCTGGAACTGGAAAGGGTCAATAGGGGCTTGTGCATTGGGGGCCTCGGGATGCTCCACCCCATGTTTCTCTCGGGGCGCCTCAGTCGGCTTCTCTACCCGCTTCACATCCCGGCGTTCGTCCACGACCACCACCGGCTTACGGTCATCCCTGCGAGGTTCCTTTGGTTCCTCACGTGGCCGGTGGTCATCTTTTGGGTCGTACTCAACTCGAATCTCGTCACCCTGGGGCAGCTTGTACACCTCCGGGCGAGGGTCAGTCTCGACGTCGGGCTTCTTCAAGGCCTCATAGGCGGGATCAGAACGGCCAGCCCGACGCTTGTCTCGGTCGTCGATGATCTCAACGTTGTTGCGTCTATGGGGCCGGCGGGGGTCGTTCTGATCACGAGGATCGCGGTCTTCCAGCTCAATTGGTACTGGGCGTTCGGGCTCTTCCTCTATACGACGGCTTTGCCAGGAATCGCGGAAGTCATTCCGATGATGGTCCCGTACCTCACTTCGACGGTCATCTCGTCGTTCCATATACTCGCCCGAGTCCCTACGTTTAGCAGCCATGGTCACACCCATAGCCGCAGCGGCAATGCCTACGCCAGCGATGGCATTCTCAGCAGCGCTTCTTCCCTTGGGCGGCTGGCGGGGCTGCTTAGAGTTCCGGCGCTCCTCCTCCTCGAATCTTTCTGCATCGTACACCTTGGACGGGAGAGGGACAATGGGAATAGGCTGCTGGATGGGGACTGGGTCGGGCCGGGCACGTTGAGGGACATCCTGGCGGGATGAGGTTACAGAGCTACGGTCGTAGTCAAACTTGTCCGGGTCTGAGGTCGGCACGGGGTATATACGCTGCATCGGTTGTTTCCCAGTCTTGGGCGATTCGACCTGCGCTACCGTCTCTTCGTGGTGGCGCCGGGAAGAGCCAGCGGACCGGGGGTCTTCTTCGCCAAAGCCGCATGGGCTTTTTACGGCGCCGCGAAGAGAGTTTACGGGACCGAAGAGGCGTGGGTCCACAATGGTACTCCTCCGCGAGGGTGGCTTGATCTGCTCCGGAGGCTCGTTTGAAATTCTTGCCGACTTGGACGGCTTGATGGAGGAGCCATACGCCAGGCCGTTGTCGGAATCATCCGTAGTAGTAGACTCATCTTCAGACGCCGATTCCCAGTCATCGTCCGAGGAGGAAGCGTTTTCATTAGGTTTAGAAGTGCCAGATCCTCTGGTCTTGGTGTCGCTCTTACTCTTACTACGGAAATGGCTGAAGGCGGCGGCTGCGGCTGCGGCACCAGCCGCGGTACCGGCCAGCTGGGACGCCCGTGACTTGGAAGCAGACTTGAGGTCATGCTCATTCTGCCTGCGCGCAATGTCTTGCAGTTGGCGTCCAATCTCGAGAATTTCTTCGTCGGTCTTATCACGAGGCATCGGGGGCCGCGGTTGTTGTTGGTGGGCGTCAGTCGGTTCAGCGCGGTACAACGAAGGACTCGCGTATCCCTGTGGCCTGGGGCTCGTAAGCTGACTCTTGTCGCGGTCAATGTAGCCGCGACCGTAAGCCATGTCAGAATTGACGGACGAAGAGGAGGAATTGCCAAAGGAGAGAATGCGGGCCTTCTGCTTCTTCCTCCTGCGACGTTTGCGCTGCTCCGAGGGGGCTCTGAAGAAAGTATTAAAGATGCCGCCAAACTTAGGGCTCTTTGCTGAGATGTTGAGCATGGAGGAGGAGGTTGAGGAGGACGAGGAAGAACTGGAGCCGCCTCGCGGGCGCATCCTCTCGGACTGATGGTTTCCTTGGTATGGCTGGGGTTGGGCATGTCGTTCGGGTTCGCCATAGCCTAGAGGCTGAACGAAGGCCTCGGAAGGGGGATACTGTTGTTGCGGCTGGTGGTGTTGGTGATGTTGGTACTGGTCGGGTTGGGGGTATCGTTGGGGCTCGCCATATCTCTGAGAATCGGGATATCTCTCAGAAGGGGCGGCATATCTCTCGGTTTCGGGGTATCTCTGAGATTCGGTATAGGATTGGGGGTATTGCGATTGCGACGGCGAATAGACGGACGGCAAAGGCTGCTGCTGTGTTGGGGCCCGAGATGATGGACCAGGAATACTCGATACGACGCTCTCGTCGGCAGCGCTGGCGAGTTGCTCGCGAGAATCACGGCGGTCTCTTCTTCGCCGCCGAGAGCTCTCTGGGCTCCGGCGACGCGGATCTCGCATCATGGTCGCGAAGGCGTATCGAAAGCTGTCGTGCGCATCTGTCGCTCTTTCGTGGTTCGGGCGCGATTTGATGATGGAAATGTTCGACGGCGTGGGGTGTCGAATTGTGTGGTGGTGTGGTGAATTAAAGATGAGGCTCTGTGCTTTGAAGTGCGCAGACAATAATCTGGCGATGTTATTGTTTTGTTTTTTGAGGAATAAGCGACTGGACGAAGCGGGACAGGCCGTGAAGCTATATCCCGGGGGTGTTCCCCCAAAAAACTGACTGAGCGGGGGGGTGGGTGGGAAGCCTTCAAAGTGTGGAAGGGGGGGAGAGACTTCCTTCCATGGGAGGCAAGGAGGGAAAGGGTGGCTGGGGATTTGGGAACACTCACGCACAATCTGGGACGACGATGGGCGCTGGGAAAGGGGACTGGGAGCTAGGCCCTTCCTGGTTCAGAGAGGCAGCTGGCAGCGCAGCACACCTTACGGATGCTGCGTAGGGAGGGAGTACATGGGGGAAGCTGGGCTCACCTCAGATGGCGGCGGGGTCGCCCAGCGGTCGCGGTCCACTAAGACGAGGTGAACAGGGTGAGGCGAGCTGCCTGTGAAATTGGCAATTGCTGCAATTGGGACGAAAAGGAACTCGACGGGCAGCAGCTACGGCCATCCCTGTAGCTTCCCTGGTCCGTTGTTTCCACCTCAGCTCCCATGGTCCAAGTGTCCGACCGGCCACCGCGGCACCCTGTCGAAATTGCCCGCGCTTACGTATGGATGCCTTATTGTATACTTACCTAACATTTCATACTCACCTTGCACACTGCACTTTCTTCCCATCCATCATCCACTCTTACATAGTAGGTATCCATACTACCTCCCTTATGCCATGCATTTTCTCGGCCATGGCTCAGCTCTTTTCTCGCTTCTGCAAGTCACTTTTGAGTCTGGAGTAGTCTCGAGGTCAGTGAGTGCGCCCAATGCCACCATCCACAACGTCCCATGTGGAGATCAGCCCGGCTGGCCTCCCCGCTCCAGCGCTCCCTCGCCAACACATCCTTACCGCCTCTTTCATGAGCCTTTCTTTTTCGAAATCGACGAGACGTGTCGAAGCCGTCACACAAAGATGCGATACGCTTCATCTCTTGATTCATCATTGACTCACCAATGGCTCCTCTAATTCTTATGGTCTGATCCACCCACCTCACGTTTTTCTTCTCTTCTACAACACCTTAAGACAGAGTAAACCACAGCGGCGAACAGGGATCTGCATCGTCGTCCTGCAGCCTACTGCAGCCTGTCTAAACAGGTCACCTGCGGCAACACGTGTTACCACTCTCACTGTCACCCTCTCTGCTGTGCTGGGAGATTATTCATTGGCGACCTCTCCAAGGGTACCGCAGAGCGCTACAAAGTCACAGACTGTGAGAGATTCCTAACCCAGTTGTGATTGGGCCGCTGACCGTAGGCCACCGCGTGAGCCACAGTCGCAGACATCGGCAGATCGGGTATCGCGATGGCGCCAAAAAAAAAAAAGTCTTTGATCCTGAAGAGGGGCGAATTTCCCGTCTGCGCCTGCATGGCGGCCTGAAGCAGGGCGCTGGCTGGTGTTACTCGAAATCGAATGGGTGCCACAGCTTTTCCCAAGTCTTCACAACCTCTCGCGGACCCAAGTCGTACTTAAAGCTCCCAGCCTAAGGTAGCTTCTTTCCGCCGGAGATCCACATTTGCCGTGTTGTCCGTCGGTCCCACTCTCGCCGACTCCCCGGGCCCGCCGGCCCGGAATCCTGATTTTACGGCCCTCTCGGCAACCATGGCGGCGACCATGGAAATCATGTGGACCGCTTTCCAAAAGTGCTATGAAAGGAATCCAATCGCATCTTCTGTTCTAGTCGACTCCGAAAATGTTCTAGGCCTGTCGGGGAATTAAAACTAGAAACGGCTTGGTTCCGAAACCATGGGTTAATCGCCTGGCCAAACCAAAAGGTGTCGGAACGATCCCGAACATGGACCCTATCCAAATCCCTATGGCTATCAGCTCAACCTTCAACGCCATGATAAAAGCGTTTGATCTTTTTCTGAAACTGCAGTTATGTTATCATTATTCACCTTTGTATCAACACATTTACATTATTCAGATAATCCTCTATCTTTAAAATGGTCGTGACGCAAATCCACAACGTTCTTGAACGCCTAAGACAAGAACATTTCGTCGCCTCCATAGTCTTCGCTACTGCAGCTACCGCCGCACTTCTAACCACAATTTTGCTTCAGTACTTCAAACCAGTCGGAAAACGCAGAGGAAAAGATGGAAGACGTCCCGTTCTACCACCAGGCCCCGAAGGCGTTCCCCTGTTCGGGAACCTGCTTCAAGTCAGTGCCAGTAAAGGAGACCCCTACAACAGAGGCGTACGTATCCATCTCTTCATGTGTGGAGCTGTGCGTGAACATTAATCTAACGTCTGATCCAAAATATACCAGCTCCTCTCCATGGCAAAATACGGAGAAATGACCACTCTCCACCTAGGCTCAAAGACCCTAGTCCTCCTCAACAGCAGCCGCGTCGTCAGCGAAATCATCGCCAAGCGAAGCAGCCAGACGAGCACCCGAACCCCCATGCCCATCTCCAACGACATCGTCGGCCGCAACCGCAAGTCCCTCATCATGTCCCAAAAGGACTGGGCCGAGCCCCGGCGCGTCATGCACTCCCTCCTCAGCGGCACCGCCCTCCGCCAGTACGGCGAGTTCCAGGAGCTCGAGAGCACCCAGATGATGGCCGAGTACGTCTTCAAGCCGGGCATGTGGTACCGCCACCACTACCGCTACGCCAACTCGGTCATCCACCGCATCGCCCTCGGCGAGCGCCTCGTCAAGAGCGAGGAGGAGCTCGTCGACATGCAAAACGCAGTCACCTTCTTCGTCGGCTCCATCGGCAGCTCCATCATCGACTGGTTCCCCGACCTCGCAAAGCTCCCGCGCTTCCTCCAGCTCTGGCGCCCGCACTGGGAGGCCCTCGGCCAGTGGAACTACGACCTCTACGACCGCTGGTACAGCCCCATCGCCGCCAAGGTCGAAAACGGCACCGCGCCCCCGTCCTTTGTCCGCGACACGCTGCTCCACCCGGACACCAAGTACAAGGGCGACCACGTCGACGGCATGTACGTTGCCATGCAGCTCATCGAGGCCGGCAGCGACACCACCCGCGAGGCTCTCAACATCATGACCATGGCGGCGCTCGAGTACCCGGCCGTGTTCAAGGCGGCGCGCGCAGAGGTCGACGCCCTCTGCGGCGTCGACGAGCAGGCCCGTCTGCCCACCCTCGCCGACATGGACGACCTGAAGTACATTTGCGCCATGGCCAAGGAGATCCTGCGCTGGCACGTCATCTTCCCGCTCACGCCGGATCACACGACGTCCGCGGACATGGAGTTTGAGGGGTACTATTTCCCCGCGGGGACCGGGTTCGCCATCAACGGGCCCGCCGTCGCCAATGAGTGCGAGGATCCGGACGAGTTCAAGCCCGAGAGGTGGCTGGACGGTCACGAGGCGGATATCGCGCATGGGTTGTGGGCTTTTGGCGGCGGACGGAGGATATGTGTGGGATACCGCCTGGCTCAGCGTAGCATGTTTTTGAATATCGCTAGGCTGGTTCAGTGCGTCGACTACAAGCCTGTGAGTGGTTTTCCCTCTTTGTCCCTCGGATTCGGATTTTGTAACAGCACTAACTGGAGACCTACTTCTAGAACGGACCGTACAACAGGAACATCCTGAACCTAGAGGCCACGGGCGAGCCCTTCCCCGTCAAGGTCGACATGAGGAACAAGCATTACGAGTCTCTCATCCTGCGAGAGGCTCAGGTTGCTGGTGTTTTGGAGGACGCTAAACTGATGCGGGACTAAATTAAATGCTCGCCCTCCCCCTTTTCTATAGAAACACTTTTGATTTTGGCACTTGAATCTCGTGCCTGCCTCTTCTGCGCGGTGTAGGGTAGATTCGTACTTATATTCTACATTATCAAAATCTATCGAGACAGTGGGAGTATTCACTGATACTGGGTAATAATACCGTGTAAAAGATATCGAGAATCGCCCGAGCAGCCAGCAAAGGTAGAAATTAAAATGAATTCTACATTATCACATACAAAGTAAAGAAAGCCCTGCTTCTTTTGTTACCACTTTGATGTTGCCTCTCTCTGTCTGTCCCTCCGTCTCTCTCTTAAAAGGTCGCTCCACTTTCTATCATGAGTTCAAAGTCTCGTAACCCATCACCTCCCACCCGCGAAAGAAAGACATAGGATCAGGCTCGAGAAGCAGCGAGACATCGATATCCGCCGGGAGCGACCAGCTCTCCTCCAACCCCGACGCGCAGTTCATCTCAGGGTCCATCTGTTGTCCCGATGGTTCCCTAGCTATAGTAAACAAAACGTACCGTGTCAGCTTTGCTGTAATGACGGCATACCCGTTTGAGCGAGAAAAACAAAAAGGCTCACCTGCTTGTAATTGCGTGACGGCCCCGTCAATCTTGCGCAGCAGATCCAGCGACTTGCGAGCCGAAACGCTGAACGCCGCGATGCCCTGCAGAATGCCCTGGCATTGCTCCCACGATGCAGACGTTGCTGTGTGGTCCAGCCCTGTCCAGAGGCGCGGACAGAGGCGGCAGACGATCAGGACTAAGCCGGCGGCACAGGCATCTGTGATATTTTTATGATCTCGCGTTAGCCATCTCTTCTGCTTACTATACTCAAATGAGGGCCAATTGCCTTGGGGAATCAAAGAGAAGAAATGAAGGTGGAAGTGTCTCACACAAGCTATTCCACCACCACGCCCCCGTCGTGTCCGTCTGATACGAGCCCTGCACCAGATCAATGAGCTGCATGGCCGCGTCTACACACGCCCTAGCACACTCCGTCAGGAACGGAGCCCTGAGGCCCTTGTCCCGCGACCTGGACGCTGCTTCCGATGATGGGCGGCCACCGGCGGTGTCCCGATGAGGTCGGGCGTACTCCGCAGAGAGATCGGTGAGAATCGGCCTGTGGAGCATGAGGCGGAGATACAAGAACCTATATTCAAAGAAGTATCCCCCATGTTCAGTCCCCGGCTCTCGTCTGATATCGAGTACACAAGAATGGCGGCGCGTACCTTGCGTGTAGAACGTGCTTTTGCGTCGCGAGGATACGGAGGTCATCTGGAGACGAGACCCCGTCCAGCACGGAAGCTTCAGACTCGCCTCCCCACGAGAGGAGCGGCGGTACCAAGTCCTCAAAGTCGGTTAATTTGGAGTCGAGCTCGACAATGGCGTCGAAGCTGAGTCCTCCTATGCCTCCTCCTCCTCCTCCTCCTCCCCGCGTGCCGCAACTTGCTCTCTGGGCGGGACAACGGTTCCGCCACGCCTGGTAGACTTGTGAGAGGATGTTCTCGAGTATCAGGCTCAGCTTGAAGCTTTGGGTGATGAACTCCAGCTTAGGCTGCTCGAGACTCTGGTCTGCGCCGGAATGAGATCTGGAGAGTAGTTCGTTTGCTGATAGATTGGACGTGACGGTAGGTCGACCGAATGTCATGCTCACGAGGCTGACAACATATTAGCCGTTACTACCTTTTTTCTCATGGTCCCAAATGACCCTGGCAACGTATATAAACAATGATAGGGGGCCAACTCACGTATCGAGAATAACACAACCCTGCCACGTCCGCTGCCTAACGTCCATCTCCAAAGTGAACCCTCTCTCCTCCTCCGCCCCAAGGCCGGCCCCCATATCCCGCGCCGCCACAACATCCATATGAAGCCCAAGCCCCTGCGCAATCCGACACGCGATACCAACGGCATTCCAGCACCGATCGGGAAACGGCGTCCCCTGAAAGACCAAGCCGCACAGCAACAGCGTCTGCACGACGCCGAGGTTGTTCTTCTCGAGTAGGTCGACGCTGAGGCACTTGCGGCTCCGTAGCAGAAAGACCTCGATGCTCTTTGCCTTTTCCGCGCAGGTGAGGTCCGCAAAGTTGCAGGCGAGCGCAAAGATGGAGTTGAGGGCGCTGTGGAAGACGATCGTGGTGGCGTCTGCGCCGGGGGAACATCCCAGACCTACGCCGCGGAAGTCCGTTTCTCCTGCTTCGAAGGCGGCTGCTGCTGCTGCGGTTGTCGAGGTCGTCGGTTGCCAGAGGGATTCGTAGGCTCTTTCAAAGGTCGGTCTGTGGAAGACGGGGTAGAGGTAGTGTACTCTTTGAAAGTACAGTTGAAGAAGATAATCGGCAAACGGGCGAGGCGGTAAGAGGAACTTGTCAAAGTCGGCGTATAGAGAAGACGGCGTCGAGAGGGACGGCAGTGCCTGCTGGCTCCGAAATGGATTGGATGACTGCACTCTTGCAGGGGCCGAGTTCATCGCGCTGTAGGCCTCCTTTAAGAACGCAACGGCTGAGGAGCTGCCGTAGAAGTCGGGCTCCGCCAAATTGTTAGGCGAGTCCTCCAGATCATCCTCGGCGAGAATGGTGCCCATGGCCGTCACCCGTCTCGCCTCGCTGGAGCCGTCGACGCCAACGGACGAGTACGGCGATGGCAGCTGGGCTGCCGCTACCGCTGCTTGGTCGTCGGATGTGTCCATGGCGCAGGCGGCGTCTAGTGCGGTAAAGTCCTGGGTTCTCGCAGCGGTGGATGAGATATTGTCAGCGGCGGAGCCGTGAGCGTCTTGCGCAGTGACTTCGAGAGTGTTGATGTCGATGCCATGTGATGTGCAAGCCTGTTCCAACTTGCGGATGCGCTCATGAAGCGTCTTTGTATAGCTTTTTCGTAGGTAAGCATAATGAAGGAAGAAAACAGCAAATCATCACATCACGAGAAACTCACTCATCGCTACATGCCGTTCTTGCATTGTTCACCGTGTAGACGCAATGCTCGAGGGCCAGTGATCGTCGTTGACACGTCGAGCATATGGGCTTGCCTCCATCGCAGCGTGCCTTGCGCTCTCGGCATGGCTCACATGCCAGGGTAATTTTGCGACGACGCTGCCGTTCCTGTCGCCCAGGAGGCATCGCGAGGTGCTGTGTCCTGCCGTGACGGTCGCGTGTGCTAGCTTTGAAGATGTTGAACTTTTGGTGAGAAGCATGCGCTCCTGCGTTAACAAGTTGTTAACACCGGAATAATCTCATGGCTGGGTGAAATTGTGATTGTCGGAAACTTGAGAACAGATCGATAGAAGTACTGACAAAGTACCCATACCAAGAATATCAACAACTCTACGGAGATGTCGGATGGAGATGTTCATCACGGGGTACCATGGAGTGTACAGGCTCAAGTGAGTTTTGCGGGGTTGAACGGCTATTCCCTTGACGTGCAGATCGGACCGTGAAGTTCCCCGGCGGAAGCGGGCCACCGGGACGAGTTGAAAGCCCACCGGGGACTTAGCAGTTACGCTATGACTATCACCACCACAATGATTGGTGCGTATTTTCGCCGTTTGCCTCGACATGGGTACAACTGCCGGACCCGTCAACTACCTTACTTACTTGTATTGACGAAATACCTGGCATGCCCCAGATTTGGTGGTCAGATCTTGGTGAGCTTATGTGTTTATTTCGATGCAAGTAAGGTAGGACACCTTATCGAAGGATATGGCTGCAAATGGATCGACTATTATACGTGGAAATCTTAGATGCATTAATTAAAGAAACACTGAAAACCTTGGGAACGATTTGGCCGCTAACAATTTGAGGAAATACACGATGACGGCAAGAATGATTTACTTGGGAATAGAGGAAACAAGTGCATCAAAAGAAATCCGAGCCTGGGCTACAGCCGCAACAAAGCCTGTCTTGTCAAATGCCCCCCAAGCCGCGAGACCAAGCAATGTAGTCAGGACGAAAAGCAATGCGCGCGGCTGCCTCTTTTTGATCGACGAGACCGAACTCGTTTGTCCCTGTAACGCAAAGAGTCAAGTTAGCTTCACCATTCACCGAGAAAGTTCGTCGTCTCTACTCACGCTATACTCCCAGTCGGACCACACCGGAAACAGACAGCGATACCAAAAATAGCCCTGGGTATAGGGGTAGCTCATGGCGTTCCACGTCTTGGTGCCGTCCGCCGACTTTTGAAAGTACCAGCTGCTGCACCCCGAGTTCCATACCCTGTGCTGCAAGGCGTCTTGGATGGTGTCGGTGTACGCCTCCTCGGCCTCACGCTTGATCACCGCAGTGCTCGCTCTGCCTTCCAGCGTGGGCTTGAAGACGCGCAGGGCGTAGTTGATGGAGTTTTCCAGGGCCATGATGGACGACGTGTGTCCCGTCGCAGCGTTGGGGCCTTTATGGTGTTAGCAGTCAGGGGAGAGCTCCTCAAGGAAACACGAACATACCCATAATCATGACAAAGTTGGGAAAGTTGTTCATCATCGAACAATTATACCCCTCGGGCCCCCCAAAGGACTTCCAATGGCTCGGTATCGTCTCGCCATCGCGCCCAATCACATTGACCCCGGCAACGAACTCGTTGGTGTGGTATCCGTTGGCCAGGATAATCACGTCGGCCTCAATCAGCCCCTTTGCCGTCCTGACGCCCTCCGGCACAATCTCCAGCGCCTTCTCGTTCGTCAACGTCAGATTCTCGGCGTGCAGGCTCTTCAGGTATCCGGAATCGAAGATGCGCCGCTTACACCCAATCTCGAACTCCGGGATCAGTAGGTCGTGGTACTTGGCCGGCGCCGTAGACCGCATATACTCCTCCGCAACCTTCTTCTGTCCAGCTCGATACTTGCTCGCAGCTTCCGTCAGCGGGAACCCCTGCAACGAGCTCTCCGCCGCGGCAAAGACGATGAAGCGCAGCAGCCGCGCCAGGCCCGGCACGGTCTTGAGCCCGGACCGAATCACATCGGGCACCTTTCTATCAATGGGCGGGAAGATCCAGTGCTTCGACCGCA